GCTGCCAGTTGTTAATTTAGGTCATACAAAGGCATCCCTAATGTGAATGAGGGTTAAAATGGTAATTTATTATCATTCAGAGAATAATTACCAAACAACATTATTTCATTCAGTACTTAACCATTCTGGCCCTCTTAATCATTCTGACCACTTAACTATTCTGCACCAAACCATTCAGCAACTGCCAAACAGCCCCTTAATGAAAGTTTATCACTCTTAAAAGACTGCCTTGCCACTTTTGTATATTTGAAGCAAAGGTCTTCTCATAACTTTGTACAAGTTTGATGTGGTTACTTGCAAATTGAATTATCAACTTGATTCAGGGGTAGGCATCATATGGAGCTTCAATGGTGCACCTTCAAGATCTGGATGCCCAACTATCTCAAATGTCTTGCCCCGTTTTTAACTAGGTCGAGCAGACAATGTCAACAACTTGAACGATCCCTTTACTCCTTCAAGGAAGAGTATTTTCTCTCGTGTTCAGTTTTGCATTGAAGAGTGGGAAGAACTTGCTATTGTCTTTTCTACAGTTGAGGATGATGTGTTACCGAAAACAACAAATCTCATTTTCTCCAAAGCGAATTTCACTGATACATTGCATGATTCTCACGCCGCAGTACCAAATCAGTCGAGAATGTGTATTTTATTGATGGTAACAATACAAAGAACGATCTAGTAAGACTGCAAACGTTTCATACATATGTTTTATCCAAATTTTTATCGTTATAACTTAAACATAAAATCATTTAATAAGCAATAAACATTTTCTTTTTAATTTTAATACAAAATCATTAAACTCTTATACTTGTAATGCCTAATCAATTACAAAATCTAAAAAAGATTATGATTTAAAAATAAAATAAAAATTATTTTATATTTTTCAAAAAAACAAAAAAAATGTAACCAAAAAACCATAATATGTTATGAAATATAAACAAAATGGCATAGAAGTAGAAAGAAACCTGAATTAAATAAAAGAAAGGGTCCAAGTCCTGAGGCCGGAAGAAGGCAAAGATCACATCTTTTGACAACAAAATACTCCAACTTCGTTAATCTCTTTCATCTTTGTTTCTCCAAACCCTTGAATCTCTCTGCGTAATCTTCCACGTGTATGTGATTTGCATCTCAGGGATTCATTCATTCATACATTTGGTCGAAAGGGTCGGGTCTACGATTCTTCTTTCCTTTTTCAACACTCCCCCATGTGATTTCTAAAATCATCAAATGACCAGAAAAACCCACATGGCTGCTCCTCAGGTTTCGATCGCCATTTCCTTACCTATAACTTCCCACAAACCCTATCTCCAATAAAAGACTTATCTTTACTCCATTAACTTTACACAATCTCTCTCTAGTTTGCTGACCCAGATTACGTAGTTGGTGTTTCTGGTACTACCCCACCTCATCTTTAAAGCTTGTATCATCATATCATATATTGGGGATCCAAATTTTCAGCTCAAGTTTGGATTCAACAGCTTTCTTCATCAGATTGGTATTAATTAATTGGTGGGTGTATCTTAGAATTTGGAATTGGAGGACTGCGAGATCGATCTGGGTATTATATAGTCAACATTTTTGGGTGACAATACAGGGATCAACGTTTTGGATCCGGTCGGGAGTGTAACAGCGCCATTAGATGGCGCTGTTCAAACGCTTCTTTTATCGTAAGCCGCCGGATCGCCTCCTTGAGATCTCCGAGAGGGTTTACGGTATGTATTTAAGCACCCCTCAAGTTTCGCTTATCTTGAAAGAATCTCGGGAGGTAGATCACCTGCTAAATTTTTTCAAGATTCTAAGCTTTTATTCTAAATTCTCTAAAATTTCCCCTTTCTTCTGGGTTGAACTCGTCATTGCCTTATTATTTCTTTGAATTGTACTCTCAAATTCTTCTCCTATTATTTCGGGTGAATCCTTTTGACTGTTCCTTAATTCATCCACCATTTTAGCTGTCACCCGTCTGTTGTTAAGTTCTTTTAGCTCTGCGAAATTGTTGACGAGGTTTAGACATGAAATTTGGGGTTAAGACTCACAACTAAATCCACAGTGATATTTACGCTTAAATTATTAAGAAAGCCGTGATGCAGATTCGACACATTGACTATGGAATAATGTAGCATCAGAGTTTTGGCTATTTGAATTTTGGCATGTTGTTACCTGAACTTGGGTATTTCTGGCTAGTGATAACAGAATGGGACTGAAACTCGATATTAAATTCATTATGCTATGACTAACTTTGCATAGAAGTCCAATTAGGGCTTCCGTATCCCTAAATGAAGAGTGCCAGATCAGTGAAATTTGAAACATTTATATTTAGAGACAGTATTGTAAGAAAAACCGAAGCTTTAGTATATTGGTGGCCAAGAATTTGCCATCTTCTAAAACTACATTAGTTGTCGCAAAGTGGGAGTATACATTTTAGGATGTCTTAGTGAGGTTCAAACACGAGTTTCTGATGATTCTGTGGTGCGGTTACGGAAAACCAAGCAGTGGCAGTGCTGCTGTTCTGCTACTTAGTTTGCTGATACCGATTGCCTTGATCCTATATAATATTTTTATTTTGAACTTTCTTTTGCCACTATAGAGAAAAAGTAACATCTGAGCGGAGGGAATTTTTTTTTTAAGTATATAATATTTATATACGGCAAATGCAACAAATAAACTCACACACCCTCCTCACCTATGGTGAGGTTTGAACCCCTGACCTCCTAGAAGGCCAAGAGCTACGATACCGCTAGGCCAAAGGCCCTTTGGTAAGCGGAGGGAATTTAATGGGAAAGTGTTAGGAAAATGGAGCACATCAGGTTTTCTGGATCGTGGGAGTTGGCCTGCAGCTAGAAATGGATAACTAGCTTCATAACTCGTTCTAGCATTTGGATGTTGATTTTTTAGATCATTGGAAATCACTAAATGGAAAAAGGTGTAAATTCTGAACATCATGTTGAAAGGTCGACCCATGAAAGTGGTTACGGACGCCAAGTTTCATGTTCGTTCCCCCCCCCCCCCCCCCCAAAAAAAAAACTTGTTAATGAAGCCTGGAAATACAAACATCTATTTAGCTGAGATTACATCTTTTGAGGTTAACATTAACACTATAATATACTTGTAACTGTAACCCAAATCTAATTTTTCAGGAGATAAATGTCAAGTGTCTTCGTTGTAATATGCAAATACATACTTTGAGGTTGTAGAGTTATCATGGGCGTTCATCAAAGTATACTTGTTACTGATGTAAACATCATCCTGACATACACATGCTAGAATCTTTTATTTGACCGCATGACCCTCACGTTTACCAGCTCATTTTAACTCTATCCTTGTCGATGAAAGTAACTTCCCAGTGGTTTTTGATAGAAATGGCTAGTGAACTTACCACCACAACAGTTCTTGATAAAGTTATTTGTCTTGATCAATGTCATATTATTCTTTTTCCACCTTCATTTGCAGTTTTTGATTGCTGCTTCTCAACTGAAGTACTGGAAGAAGATGAGTACAAGATCTACATGGGTGGCATTGTAGCTGAACTGCAGGATTACTATCCTGATTCTTCTTTCATGGTTTTTAACTTTAGAGAAGGTGACAAGAGGACCCAAATTTCTGACATATTGTCTCAATACGATATGACAGTCATGGAGTATCCTCGGCAATATGAAGGGTACCCAATGTTACCATTAGAGATGATCCATCACTTTTTGCGATCTAGTGAGAGCTGGTTGTCACTAGCAGGCCAACAGAATGTGCTGTTGATGCACTGTGAAAGGGGAGGGTGGCCAGTGCTTGCCTTTATGCTTGCAGCTCTTCTTTTGTTCCGAAAGCAATATAATGGTGAGCAGAAGACTCTTGAAATGGTATACAAGCAAGCTCCTAGGGAGCTTCTTCATCTTTTAACACCTTTAAATCCACAGCCTTCCCAGTTGAGGTATCTTCAGTACATATCCAGGAGAAATTTAGGTTCAGATTGGCCACCCTCAGACACACCTCTAGCTTTGGACTGTATCATACTTCGAGTCCTTCCCGTATATGGTGAAAAGGGTTGTCGACCTGTAGTTCGTATATATGGTCAGGATTCATCTTCAACAACAGCCAACAGGAGCTCTAAGCTTTTATTTGCATCCTCAAAAACCAAAAAACAGGCTCGCTACTATCAAGCGGTAAATTTATTTAGCTTACTTTTCTGAAACCAAAAGAGATCCTACTTGCTATCTAATATAATCTCCTGCCTTGTGGTTTCAGGAAGAGTGTGAACTGGTGAAAATAGATATTCATCACCGTGTTCAAGGGGATGTCGTTCTTGAATGCATACATTTGGATCATGTGAGGGAGGAAATAATGTTCAGAGTAATGTTCCACACAACATTTGTAAGAGGCAGTGTACTTATGTTGAGCCGGGATGAAGTTGATATTATGTGGGATGCAAGGGACCAGATCCCCAGAAACTTCAAGGCAGAGGTAGACCTTTAATTATTTTCATTCCATAAATGCCTTTATTTGAGAAGTGCTACAAGTTGAATACATACTCATATATGTGTCAGGTACTTTTTTCGGACGCTGATGCTCTACCATCCATGATCACCAAAGAAGGAGAATTTGAAGATGGGGATGAGACAGAAAGTCCTACGCCTGAAGAGTTCTTTGAGGTAGAAGAGATCTTCAGCAATGCAGTTGATGGGCAAGATGCCAAAGCAGAACCTGATACTCTTTTACTTAAAGACAACAAGCTGAATGCTGAAAATGGTGATATTGTTTTCAAGGAAGAATCAGAACCTGATGCATTCCAAGACTATGAATCAGATGAAGGGAACAAAAAACCTGAAACTAAGGTTTATGCTAATCTCCAGTCAGCAAAAGGTAACGAGTTGAGCCTCAGAAATGGTGGTTTGAAGCTTACAGTGGCGGTTGCCAATGAACCTGATAAGACAGATGCCCATGAAGTAAAAGCGGATGGCTTGTCAGAGGAGGTAAACGGTAAACAAGATAAAGAAGAGAGTCCTGAGAAGAAGTCAGGAAAAGATGATTCACAGCAGAAGTTGAGTGGCAATATCACTCGAAAAAATTCTGCCAATTCAAAACTTAATCCTGATGGTGTTGCCAAGCAAAAAGCTAAGCCACAAGAAACTTCCACAACTCTAAGACTTGCAAAACCGAATGTGGTATCCCGGTGGATCCCTCCTAATAAAGGATCTTACACCAACTCCGTACATGTGTCATATCCGCCTTCACGATATAATAGTGCTCCTCCTGTGCTAGCACAACCAAAGGATCTTCAATCAGGGGAGAAAAAGTCCCTTGAAGGTACCACAAATAAAGCAGAGAATGCATCAAGAAAACATACTTCTTCTCCATCCTTGGATGTGCAACCAGTTCAAGTGGCTGACTCTTCTCCTTTGAAATCGTCTATTCCGCAGATTCCTTCACCTCCCTCATCTGTTCGACGTTCTGGCAAGTCTCTAGATTCTTGTGCCTTGCAAGACCCTGTTAGCAAGTTGGAAGGAAAAACACCAAAGGTTACACCACTGCCTCCAGTAGCATCCCCTCCTCCCACTCCAATTTCTTTGCCTAGCTCTTCACTGTCTACGCCAGCCACCATGCCGTTGACGTCAACTGATAGGGATATTCATGTACAAGCTACAGGCAGGGCCCCTCCACCGCCCCCACCTCCACCTCCACCTCCACCTCCACCTCCTATGTCATCCGACATCTACAATACTTGTGCGGTTGTGCCTGCTACTCCACAACAACCACCTGTCTATTCTTCTATAATTGGAAAACCTGTTAAAGATGGCATGGCAATCCTCGCTACTCCAGCTTTGCCTCCTAAACAAGTTGCACATCCACCTCCGCCTCCACCTCCACCTCCACCTCCACCTCCACCTCCAATATATAGCGCCCCACCTCCTCCTCCACCTCCACCTCCACCTCCAAGGTATGGCGCCCCGTCTCCTCCACCCCCACCTTCGGTGTACGGAGCTCCATATTCTCCACCTCCACCTCCACCTCCACCTCCGCCCCCACCTCCAATGTATGCATCCACATCTCCTC